CCATTATATCCGCTACCAAACCGTATTATCACCAAACCAAGGACAAATCACTATGGAAGCTACCCGCTCTAAGAAATCTACCTTAATCATTGGATCATCTAACCTGAATCGAATTACCAAAACCAGTTCAGACACTGAAATACATTCTTACCCCGGTGCCCAAATCCATCACATACAGTCAATCCTGGAATCATACGACCATGATCCCAAACCTACTACCATTATTCTTCATGTAGGCCTCAACAACCGTGATCAGCTACCAAAGACCTCCGTTAAGCAAGCCCAGAAATTAATCGCCACAGCCAACATAACCTTCCCAAACTCCAAGATCCTCTTCACATGTATACCCATTTCAAATAAAATCTCGAAGAAAGCACAACAGAACCTCAGCACTCTAAACAACATGATGATGGAGTCCAGTATCAACAGCGCAACAATATTACCACCCTACGAAGAAGAATTCGAACCAGTTGATAATCTTCATTGGTCTCCAGAAACAGCATTTATTTGTTTTGGATACACCAGCTTCAAGCATCGAGTAAGTAACTGCTAACATGATTAACAATATTCTTGCTGATTTAGTCAAAACTAATTATCTCAAACAGAAACATCCTGAAAGTGGAGTGGAGTGGTTTATCTCGAATAAAATCTCTAAAGGCCACCCGATTATATCTGACTGTGGTAGTGAGTCATATGCAGTGTCAGAATACATTGATCATTTCTTACTACCTCTAGCATGTCAACATCGCACCTACCTTAAAGACACAACCGATTTTGTCAATAAAATAAAAAATCTTCCCTCTAATGCTATTTTAATTTCTATCGACGTTTCTTCTATGTATACCAATATCGATAACACTACTACGGCAGTTCGTAAAGCTTTTAATAGAAACCCAGATCCAAACAGACCCGACGATGCAATTCTACAGCTTTTAGAGATTTGTCTTAGTCGAAACGATTTCACATTTAATGGTAAAACATATTTACAAACTTCAGGGACAGCGATGGGCAAACGATTCGCCCTTCGTACGCAAACCTTTTCATGGCAGAGTGGGAACGTGAGGTGTTGCCCCTCTGTCCATTTGACCCACTTTTTTACGGACGCTTTTTGGATGACATTTTTATGGTTTGGACTTATTCTATCGAACAGTTTTGGGAATTCTTTGAAATTCTCAACAACCACCATCCTTCTTTCAAACTAACCGCAAACGTTAGTGACAAAAGTATAGACTTTCTCGATACCACAGTCTTTAAGGGAGATTCCATAGCAGAAACAAATAAAATGGATATTAAAGTGTATTTCAAAGAAACTGATACTCACCAACTCTTGCACATGAGGTCCTTTCACCCAAAACATACCTTTTCTGGTATAATTAAGTCACAAGTTTTACGATTTCATCGAATTTGTACAAGATCTTCTGATTTCAACCAAGCCTGTACGATTGTTTTCTCAAACTGAAAGAGCGTGGGTACTCTAAACGATTTTTACGAAACATAAAAAATACCACCTTAGCACAGATAGCAGCTAAAAACAGACTTTATGCCGAAGTACCTCCCGGTTTAAGAAGTGCTCCATGTTTGTCCAGTAGATGCAAAACATGTCCCTTTATATCAGAAACTTATTATTTTGTAAGCAATTCTACGAATAAAAGGTAGCCGATCCAGGAACATTTAACATGTGAACATTCGAATGTAATATATTTAATTTCATGCAAGAAATGCCCCAAACAATATGTAGGAGAAACTAAAAATAATTTACGAACTAGCTTTAATGCTCATAGGTCAGACATCAAATTAAAGAAAGACAAACCTGTTTCTAATCATTTCAACCTCGACGACCAATCAATAGACGATCTCACCCTAATCCCAATTGAGCGTATAGAAATTTGATTGCCCGAAGATGAAACTACCAAATTCCGTCAATCTAGGGAAGCCCATTGGATTGAGACATTGAATACAGCAAGACCTATAGGACTAAATATTCATCATAATGTAGGCATAGCACCCTTTGTTGTCCCGTTTAATACAACCAGCAATCGAGCAAGCAAGATAGTTCATGCCCACTATAAGAGCCTTCAAGAGAAATTCCCCCATGAAAATGATAGTTGCATATTCAAAAAATAAGAACTCAAATGATAATATTGTTCACAGTAAACTAAAAACAATCAGTACTTAACAGATACTATACTTTTAGTTATTTTTTATAATTTCAGATCAGAATAAGAACAGTAGAAAACCCAATATCAAGACCCTTAATCCTAATTTCTAAATAAAGTGTCTGTTCCACCCTAGGCCTGTACATTTGGGAAAATCAAACCCTCCCTTCCCCGAAAACTTAATATAATGTCATCAGTATTTTCATTGACATCTCGGGAACACATGCGAATTTCAAGCATGTTCTCCTGGAATATTGCTCAAGGTCATCGATTTTATGTTCGAGTTGTATTTTCTTATTATTTAGCGTTTGAAAAATTTGATTGTCAGGTTCCAGTTGGGTAAGGTAATGAAAATGTTCAATGAATCACCTTTTTCTGCAATTTAATTAAAAATTCGGCTGAAGAATCCATAGACGAACTCTCGGTTTTTTATCGTTTATTTTTGTCTTTACTGTTTGGCTTGTTACGTTGCATAACGATCAGAATATTTTTAAATGTTAATATTTCGGATTACGTTCTGGGTCTTCAGAAACAAAATTCCTAAGCAAGTCCGACCGTTTTGAAAAATAATATTCTACTGTAAATATTGTTAATTATACAGGAGCAGCAACGTAGATCATCATTCCATCATAATCTGTGTTTCTTTTATATTAAAGATTCACTGACACCATAATTAAACTACTACATATAAGACAGTACACAAAATAAAAATATTTATTGTTTACAACATGCCCTACTTGCTTAGCCAATTCCAAAGTTAATCGGTTAATCAGTTGATGCTACAGTTCTGAAATATAATCCTCTCGATTCAAATTGACACAATATGAACCTTTATCATTCTTTTTGATACCAAAACCAGAGCAGTTGGTAGAAAGCCACAGGTACTGGACATTTTAGTATCTGTTGGTGGCGTGCTGGGATCAGTTCATCCTTTTGTGAAACCTTTACATTCATTGCAGATATTTTGTGGTAATTGTCTAAATTGGCCCGAACCACAACTAACCGTGTAATGCTTTACCTTAGCAAAGTGCCTAACATAATGCACCAGGGCGCGGTAATAGGGAAATTATTCCATAGGTTTGCCTTTCTTTCGAGCTGTATTAATGTCACTACTGATACTTGAGAGATCATACATCAAAATGAGGAATCGGGCAATAATTCTTTGACTGCATTAGTCACCTTTCTCATATCATGGAATGTAGCGATTTGATTGGATTGTACCAGTCTAATCAAACTTTGATCAAACTTTCGTTTTTTTTTCAGCTTTTATTTTTAATGTGGCCACTTCAATTATTGTCTAACGACAGCCCTCTTGAACGTTCGTCAAATTAACCTTTTGACCTATTTTGATGATATCTGCTTTTACCAATCAGCACTGACGTTTAGTGTTAGGATAGTTTAAAATGTTAATTTGACTCGATAACTTCTGCTTTAACCAGTCAACTTTCTACCCTGTCCCGCGTTGGCGTTTTGTGACACTGTGTTTATCAGGTTTAGTTCAAAAGGTTAATTTGACTAGATAACTCCTGCTTTAACCAATCAAATTTCTACCCACTCCAGCACTGGCGTTTTATGGCTCGGTGTTTATCAGGTTAGTTCAAAAGGTTAATTTGACTGGATGAAGTCTGATTAAACCAATCAAATTTCTACCCTCTCCAGCACTGGCCTTTTATGGCTCGGTGTTTATCAGGTTAGTTCAAAAGGTTAATTTTACTGAATGAATGTCTGTTTTAACCAATCAAATTTCTACCCTCTCAAACACGTTTTGTGGCGCTGTTTTTTTTTTTGTGTCAAAAGCTTTATTTGACGAACGTTAATAACTCGTGGTTATATTAAAAAATAAAAGGTAATAAAAAATGGAACGAAAGTTTGTTATAGTTTTATTTTTCTATGACTATGATTGTACAGGAAAAGGTGGCATAGCAGTCAAGATATAGGACGCAGTTAGTTATAGCAGTGAAGAACTACCCAGCTAATCTATCTCCATATCCTCTATCGATATTTACTATATTATATATTGACCTGATAATTATATAGAAATGAAAAGATTTAACATTTCTCACAGGAACTCGCAGTCTAACAGGATATAAATTATTATTAATATAATACGTAATACATGAATTAAAATGACAATTTGGATGATAAGTCAAGAATCACCACAGATAACATGGACAAGGTTTCAAAATCTAATTTATTTCGTGGCCAATTACAATTATATTATAATTATAATACAGTAAATTGATAAATGCTTAGTATATAACTAAAAAAAAAAATGTAGTTTATATTTAACTATTTCTAAATAAAAAATATGTTGAAGCATATGAAATAACAAACTAAACTTGTAAGTGAAAGCTCTCTACATCGGCATTTCACTCAACCAATTATTTCTTGTGCAGTACATAAAATATAAATTTTTTGCAGCATTTAACTAATCTATAATATATACAAATACAAGAAAAGCACTTAAACAATTGTACTTACAGCTATCTTAAAATCAAAATGGCGGATATAGCACATCATAGGTATTTATATACAATTGGATTTCATTTTCAATGATTCACATCATTTCAATTTTTATTCCCGTAAATTTTTATGATTATTTCACATAAGATTATAACAAATATATCATATAAGGGATTCTTCAGTCGATGCAAAAAAAAGTGTTACATAACATAAAACCTTAACAAATATATTATAGAAGTTATCTCCAGTTATCTTCTGTCATACAAAAATAAGGCTTTAACAAATATATTATAGAAGTTATTTTCAGTTATCTTTAATTTTATCTAACATAAGACTTTTACAAATATCTCCAGTTATCGATTGTTCTGTAATATAAGGCTATTAAATAAGAGAATTCTTCAGTCGATCCCAAAACAAGTGAATATATTCTATATCATCATACCAAGTTATATAAGTAGTTGTCTTTAATAAAGCATGAAGTGAATTGCTCATATTTTCACTGTCAATATCTTCTAATAAAACTACACTTAAAGGTTCTATAACTCGATTTAAAACGTGTTTCTGAGCTAAAGTCATTTCAAATTGACACCATTCACTTCGAACAAAATTATTACTTAATATGATTAAAATACGACGACTATTTTCAATCGATTCTACAATATTATCTATAATCAATCTACCACCCTGGAAATCTCTTTCATGTATACAGAGTTTTATGCCCACATTACCCTCTAAATGTGGTACCAGATGATCCAAGACCCATTGGTCTGCAGCAGAGTATGAAACAAACACATCATAGAGGTACTGTCGTTCCGCCATATTGTTTAGGAGTTTAGGTTGATGTCGCCAGATATAAATATGATATTTGATAAACCATCTATATTTATAAACAATAGATACTAAGATAAATAAAAGAAGTATAACACAACAAACACCAGTTATTGACGTATAAAAAGGACTGTTCTTTATACAAACTCGTTCAGTCATATTTAAACAGTTATATCCAAGTGGAAAAAATTCAAATTTAGTATGATCTGAATTAATCCACTCAATCAACCAAACATTGTCACAAATACATTCAACATGATTATATTGAAGCGCTAGTGTTCTTAATTGTGATCTAAATTTCATAGGAAACATCTCTTTTGATATTTTTCTTAATGAATTCTGACCAAGATTTAAAGTAGTTAATTTCGTGTTTTTATCAAAAAAGCTGTCTTTCCAGTTTGATATCCCGTTCCCATACAATTTAAGTTGTTGAAGTTTGGTAAAGTTTTGGATGGATTTTGGTACTTCATTTAACCTGCTCTTTGAGAGATCTAAATATTGCAAGGAGGTGAGCTCTGATAAAACTTGGTCTAATTGTGTACAAGTATGACTTTTGTGGTCAATCAAAGTATTACCAGAAAATATTAAATTTTTGATATTCTGACAGCCACTTAACGCCAATGGATTAATATTTTCTATTTTTATTTCATTATTAAATAATACTAACTGTTCAAGATTTGAATTATTAAAAGAATAGTCTTTAAGTTTAAATGTTGATTTAGAATTTTTCTGTTGTGACACACTGAGGTGTTTAAGAGAAGGTAAATCTACGAAAGATCCAGAATTAATCACTGATATACAATTGCTATCCAGAATGAATTGAGAAAGCTTTTTCAAACAGTTCATATATTGAGGAAAATAGTCACAAATAGAATTATAACGTATATTTAAATCAGTCAATCTAGGGAAATAAGATATACCGTGACAAAAATTAGGAAGTGATCTAATATTATTTGAAACTAAGTTTAATTCTTGTAAATTTTCCATTTTATCCATTACAATTGTCTCGATTTGATTCTGTTCGACTCTTAAAATGTTTAGATCCAGTGAGTTAAATTCTGTGAAATTTAGTTTCTTAAGAGAATTGTTAGATATGTCAAGCTCAGATAAAGTAAAATTATTTTTGAATAATCCTTCCGGTATAGATTGTAATCCAATCTGATGTAATTTTAATAAATGGTAGGATCTATTTTTCAAATCAGAAAATAAATTAAACAAAGAATCCGTTGTCAATGGATTATCGGAGAGTCGTAGTTCTTGTAAATATTCTAAAAATTTAAAACTATTAGTAGTAATATTTCTGATATTACAATTTTGTAATCTTAACCCCTGAAAGTTTCTTAGGTGTGTTATATTGGTAAAAGTATCTTCATCGATCACAGGGAGATAATTATGATCAAAAAATAATTGAGTGGTCCTACTGGGAAGTAGAGGTATATAAGTTAGATTCGTATTACTACATTTTACCACATGCCTACTGTGCTGTAAACATTTACACAGTTTTGAACTACATGCATCCTTCTCACAATTATACATAGAGTAAAACACAAACAATAGAGCAAGCACTAACAATCTTACACTATTCATCATTATGTATGAGTTACCTCGTTAGTTTATGCACTGAAAGTTTATATCATTACACGATTTACATTCTTTCGTAGTTTCACACTGTCATCCAATAGTAATCGAAGAGCAAACACTTGTATGTGGTCCACAATTGGAAACATTTACGGTAGGTTAAACTCATTCAAAATTTTCAAGTTGTTCTACTCTTCTTCTGGTATTTTCCACTTGATTAAACTCTAAAGTAGGATATCTGTTCTCCTAACTAAGCTTAGATGTTCACTTTCCACTTTACAACAGGATACTAAAGTCCGCCAAAGTCTTCAAGCTTATACTGTAGGTTACTAGATTTTCACACTCTTTAAGGTTTTAGAGTAAAATACTTGTTATCTACAATATTGAAGCTTACACAAGGCCATACATTTTTTCTGCAATAATTGAGAAGGATGTCTGTTATCCAAAATCTGCACTATAACCTAACGCTGTAAGAGTACACAACATTTTCACCAAATTCTTAAAGGGTATAGAAAGCTATTTAAGTTAAATGTTTCCTTTCCGTCCCTGTATACGTTAAAGATCCCTCGACAGTTGGAAATCGAAAAAGAGCAGGCTAATGCCACTGTCCTGGCAAAATTTCCTCATGGCACCCTGCATGGCGTTGCCCGTCTTCATTAGCCCACAAGGTGCAGAAGAATAGGACGTAAAATTCCATTCATTTCATTTTTATCCTTTCCGTCGCTTTATATCTCTTCAATGAGTCACGGTCACGTGTGCTATCATGATGTCATACATGTTAAAATATTACCCTATTGACAATCATCTTGAATGCAAGTACATCTAAACAAGGTTCAGTCAGTAATAATGCAATATTACACTATGGCTTGTTGAACTTTTTAAGCTTACATGTTTCAATTTGTCTGCAATCTTCAAGCTTATCAATCTGAATAATATACTAAATTGTTTCATTTCTTTTTTTTTCTTCTGCGGATAACTCTACTTGCTACGGGTTTTAGGCGTAGTGAACTAGAAAATGAAACATCAAGTTCTGCATTTTAACCATATTACAGGCTTATCTACTATGTTTAGGCTCATATGGTATCAGTTGTATGCTATCTTGAAATTTGGAAGATTCAATGCGTCTGTGTAATTGTCATATCTGATACAAACAAAGGGTTATACAAAAGTATCAAATTTTGTGGGAATCTGTACTGATTGTACCTGATTGTACATATGATTGAGTAAACATGTGATTAATCTTATTAAAATTAGATTTCGATTTCCTGATATTTTGCGCCCCCAATGTACAATGCAGACGAAAAATACCAGATAACAAAAACGAATAGTAATTGTAATCTAATTTGAAATGTATTGACATTAGATAGACCCTAGCTATGACACACTTAGTTTCATAATACAAAATATTTCCCTGAAAGAAAATCAACGTGGTAATAAAAGTGCGATAAAAGTAGTCCTTCACCTCCCTATCCTACAGTTGATTACATGTAATAAATATTCAGAATGACACAACATGAACCTTTGTCACTGTTTTTAATAACAATGATATCGTAATTTTTAAGTAAGGTTTACGCTTCACGATCTACTATTCTGTGAGATTTGGCTTCTCATGCGTTATGGATTTGTTGTTTGGCTATTCATACTTGCAAATACTTTCCATATGGATGGCGGCCTGATGTGGTTTCCACGTGGATTTAGGAATAAGCATTTTTCTAGTACCACGCGGATGGTGGTTTCGAAAAATATATGTGCAGCTGAGTTTACGTTGAAATCGTTCAATAGATGTTCGAAGATAATCAAGGTTGGCTACCTTCGGTGTCGGAATAAAGTCCACGATCTGAATGCTGAAGGGGTTTGAGAATTTTTACGGCTCAAGGTAACTTCAGTTCGGCCTAGGTACGAGGTCCGGTGCGGATTAATCGATACAAACGAAAACACGATTCGTTTCTTCTATTTTCTACTTTATCGATATTTGCACCTTAAAACTGAAAATATTTGGACGATAAGTAAATCATTGGGAACGTTATTGTTGGTAAGTTGACATATTCCTTTTACAGTGAAATCCCCATATTTTTGGATTTCAAGAGCTAAACAAATTTTTTTCACAGAGTCTACTTAAGCATTATCAAAGTAACAGTAATTTCTTAGCCAGAAATCTTACCCAGTTAATAGATTATAATATTATTTTAGAACATTAAATTTATTATTTAATTATTCTCATCTGTTACTTTGCCCAGTTCATTAACAGCAGCAAAACTATCAACAGAAATGGGACTCATTTCCAAAGAACAGCTTAAATAATTTTCCACTGAATAAAACTCATGTCAAGATGCAACTACTAAGAAAGGACGTCATTATTATTCAGTTAAATTATCCACAAACAACAAAATATTCATAGCTGGCCTTAAAGTGAACTACGTCTTAGAATGAACATAAATTTAAGTTCTCAAGAATGGTCAATATGAGTCAACATCAGAGAACTTACCTAGTGTTATAAAGTTACAACAGAATCCCGGGAAAATTGGAAAATTTGTTACGGGATCTTACAGTTTTGATGGTCGAGTTATTCGTACACCAACATCGTCAGTCTCTGTTGGTTCACGAAGACTGAAATTAGAACGAGACCAAATGTGTGCAATAATTTATTTTGAATGCACGTGCGCGCTCCACTAATCAGCAGCCGATGTCTGCCTATATGAATCAAACCACGCATACGCGTACAGATCGACACAACAGCTACCCTGAACGTACGACCGCTTTATTTTATGTACTTTATATCTGTGTGATTTGTAATTACTTGTATATAAACTTAGGATGCTTATTATTTCCACCACATACTCCACTGCAGAGACGAGTAAGCTCCTCTGCTATATAGCGATTCCGCTATAAATACATAAAACTAAGTAATGGGGCCCACCATCGTAATTACTCGTTAGGTGGCGCGCGTGTACTTCAAGCTTACTTTCCCGAAAAAATGCATTTCGAGATTTAGGCTGAATGAAGTTGATCAGAAGAAAAATTTCTCTGTAGACTATGGTGAGTATGACTGTCATTCGCCGATAGGCCAATTCCAGAAACTCAAAAGTACTGATTTTTTTTTTATCTTGTAGATATTTATTCAACATAAATTATACAATTATACAAAATATTACAGTATATGAAAAACTAAAACATGTATCTCACAGTTATTATATAATTAAAATCAAGATATACATTAATATCACAGATGAATACTCCTTAATGGAGTTAAAATACGGTAAAATATTAATAATAATACTTAATATTTACACTATTTCCATTATGGTATGGAGCTTAAAAAATATTACTGTAAGGCTTCAAATTGTGACAATGTTTCTCTAAAATGGGTTAACACGTAGTATAATAATTAAAAACTTGATTAAAAAATCATGAAAATTTGAAAGTTGTATATGATAAAATGAAAATGATGTTTCTTAAATGCGGAAGTACCCCTATTGATGGATCTTTACATATGAAACCGAAAGTTGTAAAGATCCATAAGGATATTTCTTAAAAAATGAAAAACGGGGTTAAAATATTGCTCTAGTAAAACCTAGAGCGTC